ATAATATAATATAATATAAACTGATCATCAATAATAAAATAAAAAATAATCAAAATATAATCTAATAAATTTAACAAGAAACCTAAAAGCTAAACCTAAACAATGGCAGGATGGGTAGCTTAAATGTGTGTTGTGGCTCAAGAGAGGATGCCCTTAAAAACTTCTGCGAACAGCCTTGTCTCCAGCACTCTCTTGAAAGCTGGGAGGGAAGGGGCCAGGTGGAGCCCATTACGTAAGGATCACAACACAACCAAAAAGACTCAGTTTCTCAAGCATGTCTCTGTGGCCTCTCTCTGTGTGGCAACCCATAAGAGCACGGCCTGCGAGGATTGGATGGTGTGGGCTTAGGGAAAGGCATTTCAATAAGCAATGATTTCCCAAACCGTTAGAACAAAAACCTTGAACCTGGCCTGGAATGAAAATGGGAGCCAATGCAAGTGAGTCAGGACTGGGGACATGTGGCAAGCTTGTTCACACTTGACACCAGCCTGGCAGCCGCATTCTACCCCTGCTGTAACTTCCAGATCAGCTTCAAGGTAGAGAGTATTGCAGTAGTCAGTCTTTGAGCTCACCAGCACATGCATCAGCATCTTCCAGGGCCCCTTCATCCAGGTAGGGCCCTGAATGACCAGCCTAAGTTTAGGTAATCAGCCTAAGTTGGTTAAAGGCTGACTTGGTTATGGACTGAACCTAGTATTCCCATGAAAGAGCCAGATCTAGGAACATGCCCAAGTTCCAAACTGGAACTCCAAGAGGGGGAGTTATGGCATCCAACTTAAGGAAACGATCCCCCAACCTGTACAATGGACCCTCAAGAAAAACAGTCTCTGTCAGCCTCAGCTTATTGGCCTTAGTCCATTCCAGAATCATGGCCAGGCAGCACTCAAGCACCTGGAGAGCATCCACTACAGAAAACAGAAAGGAGAGATAGAGTTGTGTGTCATCAGTGTACTGATGGGAACATACTCTAAATCTCTAAGTGACCTCTTAACATAAATTAAGCAGTTTAACATACATTGTTAAGATCGACAACTCTTGAGAGTCCATGGGACTGACAGTTCCTGGCCAAGCTATACTCTCTGGACTCAACTATTGAGAAAGGATCAAAAACCAGCTCATTGCCAGCCCTCTGATCTCCAGGAGGATAGCATGGTTGATGGCATAAAAAGCCACTGAGAGGTCACCAACAGGTTCATTCCTCTCCCAACAGCCTTTGTTGAAAGGTCATTGTGCAGAGCAACCAGTGCTGTCTTGATTCCACAGCAGACTGAAATGGATCTAGTTGAAAGAAGGAATAAATTCATTCTCTTCCTCCAGGAACATCTGGAGATGCTCTGTCACCACCCATTCAATCAACTTGCCAAGATACCTGGACTGGAATCAGCAGGGACTCCTGGGTACTCCATGCCATTCACTTAAGGTACAACATAGAATCTGAGATACTTCCTCCTCAAAGAAGGTTTTGTTCTTCTTGTCTCTTGCTGGTGTTTCAGGAGAAAATGGTTGCACTTACTGAGCTTCTTTCCTTATGAGGTTTATTCTCCTACTATTTGCTGCACCAAAAAAAAAAAAAGATAGGGGGCTGCAAGCCATAGTTTATCTTTGCAATGTAGATTTCTGCAATCTTCCCAAAAGGTTCTGTAGGATTTTTCTCAGGTTGATTGGCTTTTGCTTATGGACGTAAAACTGTGCATGCTCTATCTGAACTGGTTCATCATGTGAGTTAGAACTCTGGAAAATCAGGGTTCTGACTAGGGATATGAATCTTGTAGGGTCTTTCCAAGAAGGGAGGGAAGAACTTTTTTCTTGTCACTCCAAAGTGTCCTGAGCCAAATCTCTTTGAGCACAAATCTTACAGAAAGTCTTACAGTACTCCTTGACTGTCTTGCACAGTTTCCGCCCAAAAAGCAGTATGCGTGGCAAAACTCCAATCCTTGTACAGAATAGTGTCTTGTGTAGGATATGGGACTTCTGCATAGGATGTCTCATTTTTTTGCGCAGGATCTGGGTTAGTTCTGAGCAGGTTGCAACTATTTCCTGAACAGGATTTGGTGATTCCCAAACAGAACAAACTGGAAAATGAGAAGAAAAATAGCATCCCTCGTTTGGATTTATATAAAGAATCTCCATGGATAGCAAAGGACCTTCAGATTGTCAACCCACATTATCCCATGTGTTTATTTATGGACAGAGCTAAGTACCCAGCAAGGAGGGCAGGGGAGAAAAATGCCAAATGGCTTGAACTGTTGATTATCATCAGAGAAAAGGGGACACTAACACCAGTTTTAGGGAAGAATTGGACAGTTGCCAGATTTAGAGCCAATGTGTAGGTTGCATGGTTTTGCAAGGAATAATTGGTCTACATGACTACTGTATATTGCATCTTTCTGTTATAATTTTCATTTTCTCCCCTGCTGTCTGAGCAGAGAGAGAAAAAATCATATGTTCATTCCAAATTATCATTACTGCAAAATTGTAATTGAAACTATTAATCGCATTGTCAGAAACACTTGGGTTGTGGCTGCACTTAGTTTTGAACACTCTCTGTTCTCTTCTTATGAGTCTGCTTTATTATTACTACTCAAGTTCTAGCAGATTTCTCAGGAACAGGAGTTCTCCATGGAGTCAAATGGCCTTAAAAAGAATGTCTCATGGAAAGTCTCCCTGAGGCTGTAGAGCTACACAGAATTGTTCAGCAAGATGCCTCATCGATTTTCATGGTATTTCTTTCCAAAGAATGGTGTGTAGGATTACAGATTGAGTCAAGGGAGGACATGTTTCCATGTCTTTCTGAGCTGAAAATAAGAGTAAATGAACATACAAGTTTTTATTTGCATGCTAATGCATGAGAATCCCGTTGCTGGCCCTGAATGTTGTTAGTTTCCATTTGAATAATCTCGGAAGCTTCACAGTTTTGCAAACATCAGCTGGCAAATGCTCACCAAAGGCACCTCCGTGACACCTGTGTCAACTATGATCACCAGTTCATGCTTCCTCATTGCCCAAAAACGTACCTTTGGGAAGATAAAGCAACTACATCTCCCAGGATCCTGGTGGACTGGGTCTTTTTCATATCATGAACTGAAACTACAAGCTCAAGAAATTCCTAACGGAAACCTGGTTTCAGAAAGGAGCCTTTCCCAGACCTGAAGATGTCAGGAGCTGAATGTGAAACCCTCTGAAAAAAAGAGCATGTGCTGTCCCTTTAAACTATGATAACTCCAGAAGCAAATGTTCCAAGACCAACTGGGGTGCCAGTATTAACACTCCAGCTCTCTAGGGTAGGTGTGATAAATAGATTCTATCAACTCACTGTAGTTTTTACTTGCCAGTAATGATGGAAGGGTAAATAGGCTCTCTGATATGCAGCCCTAGGAAAGATTAATTGTTAACAATCCTCTTTCTGCCATTCCTCCTCTCTCGCACATGCCACTGGTGATCAAAGAATAAATGCAATAGTCAGTACATGAGAAGAAAAATGGCTCCAGAGATCATATTCTGCTCAAACATATATTTCCGCTTCGTCTTTCATACCCATGCAAGTTTTATTTATGACCAGCAAGCCCACCATGATTCCAGGAAGTAGAGTTGGATGAGTACACTGCAAATATTCACTAAACACAGTAAGCGTGTACAAATATATATATTTTACAAGAGCATTTCCTATGCTTTTTCAAAGATATACATTAGAAAAATCTGCTCTTGGCTTGACGGATGCATCAAATTTTGGGGGGACAACAAAGCAACCACATTTTTGTAAGTATTATATGGATCATTGATACAACACAAAGAGGCAAACCAAAGAAGTTTTTATACCACTCAGTTTGTTCTGGGGCTCACAAAAATGGAGAAAGACAAAGAGAGGAACTCAGATATTGATCAACTTTGCAGCATATTCATCCATCATTTCTCCTGATCAGAAGAGCAACCCAGCATTTTTGTTTTGTTTTGTTTTCTCTTCATTTACTTTTCCCCAGGGGTCCCAAGTCAAATACATCACGGTCAAGCCACGGAGCACCAATTCTTACTGTACACTGCAGGTTGAAGAGAAGGCTCAAAGCAATGTGAGTCAAATGTGAGTCATAGGCAGAGCATAAGGGGAAAACCGGTGAGCAAGAGGAAGCTAATGCTAGAGGCCATCTGGTGTAATTCCAGTGCCCCAACAACACTGAGATTTGTTTAATATCCCTTTTCTACACAAAATACCAGTATGACAAAAGAAGATTTTTTTTCATATATGCCCTACTTCTCCAATAGAAATGGACACAAAATGAAGCACAAAGCAAAACAACCCACAAACTGGGCTAATTCATGGTTTGTTTTGTAGGCAGTTCAGGGAACCATGCTTTCATGGAGTGAAATGAAATGCCCAGCTTTTTCACTGTTGGCGTTTCATCTGGCTTTCTTCCACCACCACCCGGAAAGCCTTCCTTCATAGGCCCCAGCACCTGCCTTACTCACTCCCAGCCTCCTGCTCCCCTCCACTGTCACTGCCCCCCTGAGAAGGATCGTAGACTATGTGGGGCCCACTTTCTGCCCCAGTGCTTCCTGGGAGGCTTAGAGCATTTTAGGAAGTATAGTTTTGCTGATCATTGGGCTCTATAGCAAGATCACCTGTTAATGCCATACACCAAGGTGCTGTTAATGAAAAAACAGCAAAACATAACCAAGCAATAAGTGGAACAGCCTTTGATTACATGTATCTATCCCTCTCCTTGGCCTTGTGAACGAAAGAGAATTGTGTGTCATTTCTTTTGTGGATGTTCTGGGACTACGCAGCTTGCTCAAGGCCACACAGGCTGGCTGTACAGACAGCCTGTGTGGCCTTGAGGCACAGTGGGGAATCAAACACCTAGTCTCTGGCTCCAGAGTCAGATACCTAACTCATTGAACTATCTATCCAGACATTGTATAAAACATACAGCCTAATGTTGCTGCAGAGGAAAAATCAGGCAACTGAAACAGCAGCCATGTTAACGGTGAAGGGGGAGTGATGTCATGTGAAATTGCATTCAGGAATGAATGTGGATTGAGGAAGGATTCAAAGTGATTTGTCCGTCTAGGCAGGCTGCCTGTGCATACCTTTGTCACCTAATGTTGGCCTACAGGTGCTTGAGCAGAGGTAGCTCTTTTTACCCACTCCCATAAATTCCTACATATGACAAGGAGATCAGGCATGAACCCACCATGGGGCTTTTCAGTTTCTGGATGTGCTTTCTTACCTTAGTAAGTTTGGTCTGATGCAGTCCATTCTCTGTTGTATATAAGGAATCATAATGGTCATCAATGTAACTTGTTGCAATACAAAAACGTTTGAAGATTGTACCAGTCCAGCCTAGAACCAAAGCAGAAGCACCTGCTGACTTTCATAGTCAGAAAACAGGACTCTGAAAGAAGGTCAGGAGGCAGTGGTAGCTTGACAAAAGAAAGGATGGAGGTGAGAATGGAGGTTTAGTAAGAAAATTGGTAAAATAGGAATAAAAGAACCAGCTTATCTATTTACAGTCAAACCTCGACTTACGAACATCCCTACTTGTGAATGTTTTGACTTACGAACCGCTTCGACAGAAAAATATTTCTTTGACTTGCGCATGGAGCTTTGACATAAGAACAGAAACAGGCAGGGAAAAAAGGTAGGCAATTCAACTTTCTAACTACAGTGGTGCCTCGCATTATGACGTTAATTCATTCCAGTGAAATTGCTGTAAAACGAAAACGTCATAATGCGATTTTAAAAAGCCCATAGAAATGCATTAAAACCCAATTAATGCATTCCTAGGGGCTTGAAACTCACCGTCCAGCAAAGATCCTCCATAGCGCAGCCATTTTCGCTGCCTGTGCAGCGAGGAATCCGTGCCAGGAAAGAGCGTGTGGCCATTTACCCAGTGGCCATTTTTAAACCGCTGATCAGCTGGCCGAAAATCATCGCTTTGCGATGATCAGTTCCCGAAGCAGGGAACCGATCATTGCAAAGCGAAATTCCCCCATAGGGAACATAGTTTTGCGATCGCAAAAATATCGACGTCTAGCGATTTCGTCGTCAAACGGAGCGCCCGTTAAGTGAGGCACCACTGTATAGGTGGCATGGAGGCTGCTTCTTTGTGCTGTAGCTCTGTTGGCCATTATAGGGTGTGTCACAGTTGAGAGAGCTCCTGTTTTCCGAGTGAGCCTGTGTGTGTGTCTGCAGGGAGGTAAGCTGCTGTTTTCTGGGTGGGTTTTGGCTGGGGCGGATATGTTTCTGTGCTGTTTTGTTGGTGGCTTCCTCCCCCCCCCCTGTTAATTCCTCAGCAAGGGCGCTGAGTTTACTGTTTGTTGTTGGTCGTCTTCCGGACGTCTTCCCCCTTCTTAAAGCCTCAACAAGGGAGGTTGTTTTACTATGTGTTTTTGGACGTTTTCCCCCTTCTTAAAGTCTCAACAAGGGAGGTCGTTTTACTGTTTCTTGTTGGAGGTTCCCCCCTTCTTAAAGCCTCAGTGCCTTCCGTTTCTTCAGCCAGAATGGATTAATTGGTTTTCAGTGCATTCCTATGGTAAATGGTGCTTCGACCTACGAACATTTCGACCTACGAATGCCCTTCCAGAACAGATTAAGTTCGTAGGTAGAGGTTTGACTGTGTAAGTTGTTTTTATACGCTGTCTTTTTTTCCTTCCCCATTTTATTCTTATAGTTACCCATGTGAACAGTAGCTTGAGAGAGTGACTGTCCCAAACGCATTCAGGGAATTCCAAGGCTCAGTAGATTTCTCAGCAGTCTAACCACTGAATCACATTGAAGAAGGGGAGGAAAGAATTAAGTCAGTAAAAATTGACAAGAAGGAAAAATTATGAAAAGACTGAAGGGTTATGAAATATTGTAGATACAAAACAGATGAGCCTAGAGGAGGCAAACATATGGATATAACTATATGAGAAAGCAGGTGAAAACAGAATTAATAGGCAACACTGAGATTCAGAAAAAACAATGAAGAAACTATAATAAAATAGAATGAGACTACAAGTAGAAATATACTAGAATCATTAGATTAAACGGACGTATTTTATAAATTTAGAAAATGGACAGCCCTTAGAGCAATAACACAAGTTTAAAAAGAAACAGGGTTCAAAGACAATGCATAGAATAGTGGAATTTAAAGTGGCCTATAAGACCTTTGAGTTCAACCACCTGTTCAAAGCAAGAATACAAGTCCAAGTATATCTGACTGGTGGTTGTCTGATTTTCTCTTGAATGCCTCCAGCTTTGGAGCACTTATCACCTCCTTAAGTAGTTGAGTCTATTGCATACTGCTCTAACAGGAAGTTTTCCACTGATATACAAACAAAATCTGGCTTCCTGTAACTTGAGCCCATTATTACGTGTCCTGTACTCCGAAATGATAAATAAAAGAGATTCTGCCCCTCCTCTGTATGACAATTTTTCAAGAATTTGAAGACTGCCATAATATTTCCCCTCAGTCTAATTTTCTCAAGGCTAAACATGCCCAGTTCTTTCAGTCTTTTCCTTAGCTTAGCTTCCAGTCACCTGATCATCCTTGTTGAACTTGTTCCAGTTTGCCAGCATCCTTCTTAAAGCGTGGTGCCCAGAACTGAACACAGTACTCTAGATCAGGGGTCCCCAACCCTTGGTCCATAGCCCGGTGCCGGTCTATGGCCATGGCAGGACCAGGCTGCAGAGACAGATCTCCTACCCCCTGCATGCACTCCCCCGCACCCGACCCACACACACGTCCCACCACCCGCATGCAGAAATGCCCCTCCCCTCTGTAAGCATGCCCCTCCCCTCCGTGAGTGTGCCCTGCCCCCGCCCATCCATGAGTGCATCCCGCCCACCTGCAAGTGCGGGAGTGCCCCCCACATGGACCCCACCCCCCAACCAGTCTGCAATTCAGAAAAGGTTGAAGAGCACTGAACTCAGGGCTGAGCCTTGTGGTACCCCACTTGTTACCTCCTTCCAGTTAAAGAATCATTATAAGCACCCTCTGAGTACAATTCTGTAACCAACTCTGAATCAAACTGATACTTGTTCTATCAAGACCAAAATAAGTTAAATTTCTAATCAGAATATCATGGAGCACTTTGTCAGAAGCTTTGCTGAAGTCAAGATATGTTACATCTTCAGCATTCCCACTGTTTACCAGGGAGATTACCCAATCCAAAAATGAGATAAGATGTCTGGCAGGATTTGTTCTTGACAAATCTGTGTCAGCTTCTGGTTATTACTGCATTGTTTTCAATGTGCTTGCAGAATGATCACTTTATAATCTACTCCAAAATTTTACCTGGGATTGATGTCAGGTTGAATAGACTATATTTCCTAGGTTCCTCCTTTTGCCCTTTTGAAGATAGGGACAACAGTAGCCTCCAAGCCTCCAATCATCTAGCACTTTTCCCATCCTCTATGATTTCAAGATAATAAGACAGTGATTCTTAGAGTTCTTCAGCCAGTTCTTTCAATACCCTTGGATGAAGTTCATCTGCCCTTGGAGATCTAAACTCATTCCTTGACTGTTTATCTATCTCAAGCTGTAATTGTATCCCCTCTACTAATTCTTCACATTTGCCTGGAGAGTCACATACTGTCTTTTGGTTGGGGGGACTGAGCTAAACTAAGAATTGAGCATTCTGCATTTTCTTTGTTGTCTGTTAACATGGAAACATCTTAAGAAGACTGAAGGGTACTGTTGTTGCCAGCTAAAAAAAAGAAAGAACAAATGAAAGTTCAGCAGAAAACACAAGATATTCTGAGCCAATGATCTTGAAGCCAAGCATATACAGTTGTATGAAATTAGAAACACCAGTTAGAATTAAAGGAGAGAAGATTTGAACAGAGCTGAATATCAACAGCATGATATTGCAAGGCAAAAAATAAAGCAACCAGGAAGTGGGTGAAAAATAAAATGGGATGATAGCTGAGCTATGAGGGAGAACTTACCATATGTACATACTTGCCTACTTGGATTAACAGAGGATGATTTCTAAAATCAATCTGGAAGAAAAGCCAGGCTCTCTTTTGATTCCAGGAGTTTGTGTATTATTCACCTTTATACCATGGCTACCTACGTGGCAATTTTTAGAGTTATGTTGAAAATCTTAGGGTTCTGGTCCAGTTCTTCAACTTCATTTTTGTTTTCCCAGACCCACCACACAAGTGCTTTTCACTGCACACAAAATTTGAAAGGAACCAATTATGGTTTCAGGGACAACAAGCCATTATAATTAGCTAAGTTTCTTCTGAGCCTCTATGTCTTTAGAGAAGTACATGTAAGAGAACAAATCAGAGGAAGTGTTCTGTAATTCTCCAGCTAAATGGAAAAAAGCATATGAATGCCAAAGTGACCTTGTGAGTCTTTCCTGCTCTTTCCTTCCTTATCCCTGTCACCACTTTCAATGTAAAAAAAAAAATCAAATTCAAGCTCTTCATACCAACGATCTTTGTGTGTGGGTTTTTTTGTCTGCTGTGTTAGTCTCACCCATGGATGTTGCTATATAAATGCATTAATCCAGAGATAATTGGCATAATGATAATGCCCACAAACATATCTGCAGGACCAAACAGAAACCCTGGCAGATACAATCAACGTAGAACCAAGTTGTTATAAATGTCTACCAGAGTTTGGAAAGTCACTTTGAAGACGAATGGATGCGATACTAGGCTGAAGCTATCCATCACTGAGCATTGTGGCTATGATAGATCCCAGAGCATCATCCTACCATTGCTCAGTTATGGATGACTTCAGCATGTTATTATATTCATTCATCTTAATAGTAACTTTCCATGCTCTGTCTGCTGCTATACTCATTCTTTTGTTGAGGTGCCATGTCAATCTTCTTATACGCTGTCCTGGGACTATAGGTATGAAGGGAAGAGCAGGCTTTTGTGCTGTTCAAAATTCAAAATTAGCTATCTGCATTGTTCTCAATCAGCAGAGACTGTTGTTTCCAGCATGAAGAGAACTGTGCCATGCTTGCCTGCAACTGTTAAACATGAAAAGCCTCCCAAGATGTTAACTGTAAGAAACCTTTCAGTGATTTCTGCTGCTGGTTTGGAGACCTAGGATTATGGAGCAGCTGCACCCTCTGTCTCCCAATAAGGAGAGGGCCAACCTGGCCCATCAGCTGGAGAAAGAACAAGAGCAGATTGTTGTGGCACCCAAATTATTAACATATTTATTAGTTAAAATCCAGTAGCAGATTGCTAGAGTAAGCCAACTGAATCAGTGGGGCTTACATAGGAACTTACATTTACTCAACAAGTCCCCAGTGATTCAATAGGCCCATTCTAGTTGTTAATTACTACTGGATTTTAATTACTATGTCATATGTTTTCCATATAATTATTTG